ATTAGGTACATGGCATGAAGGTAGGCGAGCGGGATATGTCTTTTTTTAAAAGGCAAACCTCAAGACCGCATAGAGGACGCTGGAAGACCAACTAGGGAGCCGACACCTTGGTTGTTGCATCATTCAGCAGCACAAACCTCGACGAAACATGCGCCTGGGCTTTTAACTGGTATCTTTTTAAGGAGTATAATATAACTTCTTCGTTGTATACATGTGTTAAATTACATTATCGACAAAGAAAAGGGAGACTAGAATGATTAATGTTGGCCAATTAGTTATCATCTGCCAGTCATACCCAACTCCAAAGGTTTCGACCCCCGAGGCGCGAACCCGCAATCTTGTTGGTTAGAAGTCCGACGCTCTAACCAGGACGCCACGGTCTAGTTGCCCTGTTGATTTCGATCGGGAATATAAAAAATGGCTTTGAGTTCTCTCGAGCCCACCTAGCAGCCGCTAGTCGCTACCCCTGGAGTTGGCTATGGCTGGCAGATGAAGAGCTATAAGCCGAAAACTGTCATTCCAGTCTCCCTGGTCTTTGTGGGTAATACAGTTCTGCCTTACATCCTATCATCCTACTCAGTATGTGATGGTCTGGCGGGTTTACGTTGTGAGCTCCTGGGCAAAGCGGAACCTAATTGGTCCTCTACTAGATCGGCAAAACACATACATTTATCATATTCCCGATCACAACCGATAATCCAAGGATCCCTTGGACTAGTGGTAGAGTATTGAACTCAATGACCAAAGGTCGCGGATTCAAATCTCGGGGGTTCCAACCCTTGAGATTGGGTGTGACTGGCTGACTACGGCTAATAAGCCAGAAATGGTCGTTCCGGTCTCCCTTTGCTTTGTCGGATCAATTTCATCCTATATATCTATATATGGATAGGATAAGACAAAAACAAGGAAGACCGGAATCGGCATTTCTGGCATGTTAGCCGTCATCAGCCAGTCATACCCAATCTCAAGGGCCGAAACCCTCAAGAATCGAACCCAAGACACACGGTCATTGAGTTTAATTCTCTACCTCGGCATAACGGGCTGGTTGATTCGTCGGTTGTGCTTGTGAGATTGGGTATGACTGACTGATGACGGTTAACATGCCAGAAGTGTCCATTCCGGTCTCCCTTGTCTTTGTCGGATCCACTCCATTAAATGTCTGAGGTCGCTAAGCGCGAGTATGATATCACTCAAGTGCGAGCCTCAAGGCATTTCCAGGACAAGTATATGCCCTAACCAGATAGATCGGATGAACACCCCAGTTCCATCATATTCACGATCACAGACGACAACACAACGAGCCCGTGGCGCCGAGGAAGAGTATTAAACCGAATGACAAATGTCCCGGGTTAGAATCTCGAGAGTTCCAAACCTTGAGATTATGTATGACTGGCTTATGACGGCTAACAAGCCAGAAATGGCAACATTTCGACTAGTGTGATAAGGTGGAATGGATCCGAAATAGCAGACGGAAACATGGACGTCTATTTCTGGCTTATTAGTCATCATCCCCGCGATTCGAACCCGGGCTCTTTGTGTATTGAGGTTATCACTCTACCATCGTACCACGGGCTCGTTGATTTGTCGGTTGTCATCGGTAATATGATGAATATATGTGCTTCGCCGATCTAGGAGTGGAAGAATAGAGATTCGTTTCGTCCTTGAGCTCACAGTCAGTGCCTGCGCAAGCAGTTACATAGCGACTAGTGGGATAGGATGAAATGGATCCGACAAAGCAGGAAAAGACTAGAATGGCCATTTCTGGGTTATTAACCGTCATCAGCCCCTCTTATCCAACCCCACATGGTATACCACCTGAGTCCCGAACCCGGGTCGCCTTGATTAGGCACCCGACACTGTAAACACTGCACCACAGGCTGATTGCCTGGCGGATTTCTATCAGG